AAACTTTGATTACGAGACATGAAACGACATTTATATTTCTGACTTTCGAAATCTTGTTATATAGTCACTCACTAGTGAAAAGAGTTTGCGAAAGTGATGTGGTACTATATATTGGAGATTTATTTAAAACAACCTTTATTTTATGGATAATCATATGATAAAAGAATACTATAAAATCGCCTTGAGGTGAGGAATATTATCGTCTCTCGTGTTCAAATTAAATCTCTCACTCAATCGATCAATCGAAGACAAAATATAATATCCTTTTTTAGAGCAGATGGCTGTACAGAAACTACTACTCTTTAGTGGGATCCTGAATTTTAAATCAAGATTTTCATTTGCGTTCCGTGACTGTGTTGTGGCCGTGCCATGATGCATGTCATTACACAGTCAGTGAGAATTCGTAATCATTAATTTGTACTGATTTTAACCGCCAACACATAGCATTGTCTTGGGTGCATCAATGGTAATTATAATAGATTTTTGCTGATGTTTTCTCGCTAAAACCACTATCCAAATATTCAGAATGCAGATGAACTTTTGAAGTTTTGCTCAATGAAGCTTATTAAAACATAATAWAATATAATCGGCACTGATAATGCTATGACAATGAAAAGGTGTAAATTTTAGATATGATCAACTGCCTTATGCATTGAAATATATGTTTAATTTTGAGGTCAGAATTTCTTCAATTGACTCTTCACCACTATTTGTCTCATTTTAATAAATGTTAAATCGAGATACTGTAAAACTTTGGCAATTAAAATGCAAATTTAAAGCATAGCCAGTTATCAAGAACATTATTGTGGTTTTGCTTATAGCCGCTGACAAACCGAGCGATCAAGTCAGTTGTTATAATTTAAGACTTGTAAAAAATAAATGTGCCTTAAATTACTAGAGGGGGGGAGGGGGTTGAGCATCCAGACGGGGGTGAGGGTTCTAATTTTGTGTGATTAAAGAGGGGGGCAACATCTAAAATTAACTAGGACTTTAATTGGAAACTGAAAAATCAATGGTGTCAGATTAATAAACTTATCAATAAAAGTGTCACGGTTTGCGGTAAGTCTTCACGAATAATAAATGAATAAATTCAGGGGGATGTCATTCTTTTCATTTTTTTGCTCATTTCTCAACCCCCCTCCTGATAAATATTGCGCAGCACAGCACAGCACAGCACAGCACAGCACAGCACAGCACAGCACAGCACAGCACAGCACAGCACAGCACAGCACAGCACAGCACATTTTCAATTTTAGGTCGTGTTCTAGTGAGAAAGAAAAGAAATAAAACATCATGTTGGATTCAGAGTCGGAGTCGGAGAACGAAAACGAGTCGGAAAACGAGCAAGTTAACAAGGATCCGCTGATTAAGCTCATAGAAAGCAGAGATATCGAGAAGATCAGAAAGACTGTCACACCATCAGGTTTAGAAAAATCAGCAGAAAAATTCAAAGAAAATCTTTTGGAATATTCGCTAAAGGTATATAAACATTACATGAAACGCTGATTACCTACGATAGTTTATTACATTGGCGTATTTTTGCCCAGTTATATGTAAAATGGAGTTAAGAATAACAAAAAAAAAACTGATTTTGATTTGTTTATGGAATTATACATCATATTGTATATATAAAATGTCTAGGTCAGTCACAAGCTGAAACAATCAGCAGATGGTTCTCATCGCAAAGATCTGGACAATCTTGGAAGCAGCGTTGAAGAGTACGCTAGACGTCTTTTAAAATATTCGGTTTATAAACAGTGGAGTCAAGAGAGGGATTTTATTGATTGCATTGATCGAATCACATATGCTGCAATACATTTTAGATGTAAAAAGGTACGACTTTTATTAAAGAAACAGAAAAAAAGCAATCAAAATGTATGAAACCTTGTCRAAGAGTTGYATTTCGAAATTCCCTGCATTTCTCTTTTAAAGTTTTATTACTTGAACTTATGGTTGTTTTATCAATTATAAAAAAAACGAAAAATAGATTGCCTGACGTTTAGTTCTTTTAACTCTCAGTGTTGCCTGTCGTTTAGACACTCCGTTATGTTATTACTTGCATGATATTACATTTATTACTTGCATGATATCGCATTTCGTTTTTCAGTTTCTTTCAGGCTCAACAACACAGAATTACTTGAAAAAGCTATGGATGTCCAACGAAGAGAGCGAGG